ATCGTACGCTAATCGAATCTACAAATTGCTTATACCATTGCGAAGCTTATTTCAAGAACTACATTATGGACATATCGAATAGTTCAAACATATATCGAAAATAGTTAAAAATATATTAAACGTGAGCCTTTAAAAATACATCTAACTCGCATTTTTTTTTAAAAAAAATTCAATTATTTCATTAAGATATATTATATTCGCGATACAAATTTCTCAATGTAATTTTCATCATTTTATTAGGAATTTTTTTTTACATCTGAAAAAGTCATATCCCATATAAATTTTCGGATGTAAAATTAAATGGAGTATGATTTTTTTTTGGACTTAAATTTTCGATTGCAAAATTTCTCCCAACTTCTTTGCAAGTTCGATTATGCCCCCCCAACGTTAAAGTTCTGCGTCCACCCCCTGACGTTGAGGGTTCTTGAGGCTGATATTCACCATGCAAATGCAATTTAAGCTTAATATCAGCTTATTTTCATCTGGATTTTTACTTGCTTATCTAAAAGTTTTCTTTTTCTTTAAAGTAGTGAGTTAATTTTGGGTTCGTTTTTGCTTCCTTTTGATGGTGATTGATTGATTTATTGCTTTTTTTTAATTGAATAATATATGAATTAGATTGAACAGGAACCATTTGGAAATTTAATTGTTCCCGAAATGCTAAATCTTTTTCGCATACTTATCTACAAGGTCTCCTATAAATTTGTTCATTATGACATTGAATTTTCAATTTTACAAGGATTTGAGCTGACCTCTTTCCATTTTTTATCAAGCGATGCATGTTAAATCATTTAGTTCATATTCTCTATTTGGTTTTAAAGGTGTATATGGATCAAATGTTCAAGACTTCTATGGTTCGCCATTTACATGTTTGTTTACTTTAAGGAAAACCATTCATGTGATTATTCTCATATAGTACTTAAGAAAACAAAATTGTAGCTGTTATATTGCCATCAATCCAACGACCCCATCGTGACTTTGTGGCACTCAATATTATTGAAGATGAAAATATGGGTCCGGAAAGCAATGGCAAGAAGAGACTAGGAGGCGGTGGGTGTGGGTTGGCCAACTTAGGTACCGAGAGAGAAGATGAATGTGGTATACGCTTAGAGCCTTGCACCAAAATGGTCTTGCCGGATTGTTTCCATGCAATGCGCATGAAATGGGCTAATAACTGGTAAACAACTAACACCATCTCTTTGTCTCTTCACATCTATATGTCGATCATCCTGTTTTGATTTATTTCTTTGTACCCGTTCTTGTCAAATAAGACCAGATTGAGAAGGGCTGCTTCTAGGCAAAACTCCTAGTTGTTGTTAAGTTATTGCCTCAATAGTCAAATAATTGGAGGACTTCTATTCCAAATAAAAGTCAAAATAAAAGGAAAGTGGCTGTTGGGCCAAGAAGGGGAGAAAATAGGGCTTCTTTGTTTGACTAGGTTGCTGGGAAGATAATATATATACACCCATGCAGAAGCCAAATAAAGTGAAGAAAAAGGACTGCCTGTGGTGGAAGAAAAAGGTGCTGATTTTTCTTCCTTATTTTCAGGCTGGTTTTCTTCCTCTTCTTTGGCTAGTAGCTGGATGTGACAGAAACTGAAGCTGATTTCTCTCCCCTTTTTCTGTTGCTGGCTGCACGTAACAGAGGCCTTGAGACATAGAGATAAAACTCAATTTTTGTGTAATACTTTGAGATTAGTTTGGTGAGTGAAATTCTATATGATTGTAACAATTTTTCATATAGTGAAAAGGCTTTGACGGTCCGTTTAA